AAGTCAAATTAAGAAATTTATAAATGAAAATAAGTAAATTATAATAGACTAAAACTTATTGACATTTAAAAAAATAAAATAATATAAATATTTTATTTTATAATAAATTTATCCTTTGTACAAAATATATTTTTACTTTCGTCTTTTTTTTTTCACTGTAAAAAAGTAGATGGATAAGATTAAAACAGAAAAAAATAAAAAGTTAACATATGTCTCAATCTTGTACGGCTACGAATTTAAAACTGAAATTAAATATAAAGAGATGAAAATGACTGAAAAAACAATAGAAGAACCCCTGGAATCATTAATCCTTTTATCCAATCACAAGAATCCTAGAGAGGGCTAGGGAGTAGGGAGGGGAGGTTGCAGGACTGGAATGTGCTTTAATATTATATTAGGAAATAATAATAATAATAATAAACAATACTGGCGTGGGAAGTAATTAGTAGTAATAAGCAACCCAAGTTTTCAAGTTCCAACTGTACAATGTTTTTTCCTATTACTGTTTCTGATTAACCCGTGAACATTTGCTGCCAACGTAAGACAACTAATTTTATGGTAATTTACAGTATTAGAAATCTACATAAATAGTTATTGAATATGATCATAATCGATAGCATACCGACCAAATTCAGGGTTCAGTTTCATGAACAATAACAATAACTGAATTGTAGTTATCTGGATGTCTTGCACCTCATGGAGAACAAAATACAGTTTCCTGTTCAAGGGGTCACCACTCAGCAGTTGGTAAATCGTCCACTTCAATTATATTTTCCTAAAATTGCTTGCAGGCAGCAACATATGTTAAGATTCTCTGGTTTGTTTGCAAGCCTAAACAAAGGCTCTAACGTGTTCGCTTTTACAAGCCAAAACTTTTCCTTACCTACCTTAAATAGCAATCTGGTTCTTTTGTTTGGCCAACCTAGTCTGCTTCAGCCTCCAAATAACTCTTTTTACACTTGATAGCAGCAAACAAGTGCAATTAAGACTAGGTCCCATCCCACCCCATCCCGTTCCCTGAATTATTATGTAGCACTTGGTGCCTTTGTTTTCCTCGTACCCTCATTCACAAGGACCGGATCAAGTGCATGGCATCTAGCTAGCTAGCATATTCCTAGGATGTTCAGAGACCAGACCCAACCCGCTTGAAAGGAGAGTTTAAAGCTTGTTCGGATGGAGTTTCTAAAAGGAAAATGACAGACAATGTTTCATTTAAGCAAAGTAGCAACGTCGCCGAACCTATTCTCAGATAAACGGTGTTATTAAACGGATGCCAAGACATGCCATTGATTTGACAAACATAACATTGCTGCCGGATTTGGAACTTCCTGTATGTATCCCAGCCATTCCTCCCCTCTTAGTTTTTAGTTCCAGGACTTCAAGAAAACATGACTTTGATCAAATTTAATTTATTTTATTTGATGTAACGTTTTAAGCCATGATATTTGGTCGTCAAAATTCAAAACTGCTATAAATCAAATCAGATTTCTTCACTCTCACAGAGTCACGACGAGCTGCCTGAAAGCAGAAGGAAATATTTGGACTCATTCCTTCACATTTTGGTCACCGCCGCGTATTTGACGAGTTCAGACTCCGGTGACCTCCTGTCAATATTAGTTTCTATATTTATCTTAATGAATTGTTGCCCCAAAGTGGAAATGTGATCTTGAATTCAAGGGCCAAGCGCTAACTAGGTCTAGTTTTGGTGGAATAGGCATGAGGATTTGGCGGAGATATCCTATGTGGGTTCTAGCCATGATTGCCCAAAAAACATTAAGGAGAATAAAGAAGCGAACACTGACTACGTGACACGAAAGCGCATTAACAGACTGATGCCCCTTCCGCAATCCTCCGACAGGTCAATCGGGCTCCGATCAAGGCGACAAAAATAATTCTCGACTCCTTATCATAAAATGCAACCAATTGGAACGAAATGCAAATGAGCTAAATAGTTAAGACATCGTTGTATGTATGATTTGTGTGTGGTGTATTATATGTATCCTCCTCCTGTTATCCAAGCAGATTGAAATTCAACGAAAGTTTTGGCTGTTTTCAATCTGTCAAATCTTCTGTATCTAAAAAGTATGATATGGTAGCAGTGCAAAAATACCACAAAACAAAAATCAAACTCCTCCTGGCCCTAGATGAAAACTTTTAGCTGTCAGCTGTACTAGGGTTCCCATTATGTCTTCACGTAATACAAGTCATATAACCACAATAATGCATACCTTTCTCAATCATCTATCTGAAAATCAAATGTTCCAAGCTTATATCAAGTGAACAATGGCATACATTTTCTAAGTTACTACAGGAGTAAATCACCAAAGTTATAGACAAGTAATATAAAGCTAAAAAATATTCGGTTGACCAACTGTATTAATTTGTCATCACAAATTGATAAGCATTTTGCCAATCAATTAACACTTCATGTCGCACAGAAGCATGCGTTGCATAAAGCTAGTAATCTGCGAACTGAAATGATAGTTATTCACATATAATTACGGTCAAACAAACTCCCAAGATGCATACATAGCTTACAACTACAGAAATGCATACATAGCTTACAACTACAGATTGCATAAGGAAAACAATGAATAACTTGAAAGTGAGATGGAACAATCTTCAAACTATCCATCAAAGAGAATAACTCAACAGCAAAGCTATCAATTTGAAGAGAACTCCTCTACAACAAAAAGGACAGAAGGGATCGTCAGAAATGTACTTTCAGGTCCCACTTCCACTTTCTTTTTAATTAAATTGGGTTTCTACATCCTGGGAGAGAAAGAAGTATCTATGAATGCATTTTCCAATCTAACATGCTGAGGATAACCTTTTACAAACCAAATCCCTGCGCTAGAGTTTACATAGTCTATCACTATATGCAAGGATTTTGTGTTAAACATGAAACACATGGTTATCAATTGGAAATAGAGTTAGCCTAATCAAAAACAGCCCTCAATGAGAAGGAACATATCAAAACACTTTCTAATCTAAAACCATCATGGAAAGAGAAAATTTGTGCATCTGATTCTATCTAACACTTTCTCCAACATGCCTGATGGTCACAACCTAGAAGTTGATGCATGTTAACATTCTTAAATGAAAATAAGTGCTTATACCCAATTTCTGCTAACCAGCAAAATAAATTAAAGTTGCATAGTTTAGAGAGAAATCCTTCTTTTTATTTATGCTTTCGTTCTACCCAGCAAGATAAATTAAAGCTTTATTCAGGAAAATCCTTGTTTTAGTTGCCAAAATTATTCCTGTAAATGGGTAGGCAACACAAAGAACGTACTCATGACCCTCTAGCATAGTACCACAACCAAGTATACCTCAAAAGACCCAAACAAATTTATAGAAGAAAATATTTGAGCTAGTAATCAAGTACCCATACTGATATAAAGAACTTATTATGCATCTTGTATATGTAATGATGTCTTTAACAAATGCTAGAAAAGGAGGCACAACCAAGAATCAGGAGCACTAGTAAATGCACGTCATATGGTTGTGTATTGGTTAACTACTATGTTTGAGATGACAATTGTCGGCTGTTCAATCAGCCTCATTGAAGAAGCATATTCCCTAGTCAAACAAGCTCTCCTTCCCCCAACTGGACCAAAAAATAAATAAAGGCTCCTTCCAAAAGATATTTTGGAAAAACAAAATCCCAGAATTAAATAGCTTGGTGCATTCAAATCATGGATAGGGAATATTTTATCCAGGGTTCAAACAATTGAATTGAGAAGGTAATCACACCAACCCTAGCACTCTAGGTTCTTGATTCAGAAAGATAAAGGTCCATTCTATTCCACATCATCATATTCTTCTTTTCAGGTCCGAAAAAATACAAAAACAAGGAGAAGTTGAGCACAAACGAAGCAAGACAAAGAATACAGTATGGTCTCCCTTTGTTACCTTCTGGCTCAAATAAGTTTCCTATTACCATATTGGTCTCCCCCGTCCTATAATTCTATTACCTCTACAATCTACTATGTGCTGAATAATCCTATTGGACTGAAAGTTTTATTCTATATTGAGATTGACCTTCAGATGTAAGAAAGACAACAAACTCATCAATGATATCAGGGCTCAGATGCTCCAAATGTTGAGCAAAAGCAACTGGAACTCATAACAATCATATGAAATGAAGATAACTATGTGACCACTGGGCAACAAGGTTAAACTAGAATGGGATGGTACTAGCTACTATATCAATTGAGACCATCATGCCTTTCTTGAGCTTGTGTACAAGAAGTCGGAGGAAAAAATAAAAACAAAAGGCAGCGAAAAACACAATAATGATCAGAGAAACGATGAAAGATCATATTTCTCAGGCAGAGGAGTTTATAATGAAATAATCACAAAATACACATAATGTCAATACCAGATTTCTAAACAAGCTAGATAAATTACTGGTAGGAAACCATCACCAACGCAGAAAGGCATTAGAAACAAGAATGCATATAGCATGTTACTTGAAAAGTAGCACAGCACTTGCCGCACTATATATAATTGCCTATATTTCAAACAAATGGAAACTCAATGTTGAATTCAAAGTATGTATCTTGGAAAAATCAAATTAGCAAATTGACATAGATAAAGGCAGATCCACATTGGAAAGTGCAAATCAAGCAATGGTCGCGCTAGAGCTGGAACAAAATATCAAGACAAACATATGAGTTTTCATTATCAACGTTATTCATGCCTGATCTAGCACATAACAAACCACTAACCACCAGCCACATTCATGTAATCACCCTCAATGTGTGCTTCTCAACATAAAATAATTTATTCTGAAATAACAAAAATACGGAATTCCTAAACAAAAATAACTAGTGGACTTGAGGCAAATGCATAGCATACTACAGTCCAATGTAACCGGTACACAATGAGTGCTGAATTATTGCAATGAAAGCATAACATATCTAGTAGCAATAGTTAGACCGATAACCAATAATCTTCACTATAAAACACATTAAACATTGTAGTAATCACCTGCATCATTGCTTTACGACATTCTCCACATACCACTTATAAGTATCAACAAGTCCATCCTTAAGCGAAATCTTTGGCGTCCAACCCAATCCCAACAACTTAGAACTATCCATTAACTTCCTCGGAGTCCCATCTGGCTTCGATGTATCCCAAACAAGCTCCCCTTCAAACCCTACAACCTCCTTCACTAACTCTGCCAACTCCTTTATAGTAACCTCCTTGCCACTCCCCACATTTAAATGCTCCAACCCACTATACTTCTCCATCAAAAACACCACCGCATCAGCCAAATCATCAACATGCAAAAACTCCCTCAACGGACTCCCAGTTCCCCAAACCACCACTTCATTCGCCTGATTCACCTTCGCCTCGTGAAACCTCCTCATCAATGCCGGCAAAACATGAGAATTTTCCGGATGAAAATTATCATTTGGACCATACAAATTTGTCGGCATTCCAGAAATAGCATCCCAATTATACTGAATCCTATAAGCCTGACACATTTTAATCCCACTAATCTTGGCAATCGCGTACCACTCGTTCGTAGGCTCTAAAGGCCCAGTAAGCAGTGCATTTTCAGGAATAGGCTGCGGTGCTAGCTTAGGGTAAATACAAGAAGATCCCAAAAATAACAATTTCTTAACTCCGTGGCGAAATGAGGAGTCAATCACATTAGTTTGGATCTGGAGATTTATGGCAATGAAATCGGCAGGGTAAGTATTGTTAGCGTGGATTCCACCGACTTTAGCGGCGGCTAGGATTACAAATTGGGGCTTCTCGGCAGCGAAGAAGGAGTCCACGTCAGATTGGCGAGTGAGATCGAGCTCGGAGTGGGACCGAAGGACGAGATTGGTGAAGCCGAAGGATTGTAGCTTGCGTACAATTGCGGAGCCGACTAGACCGCGGTGGCCCGCCACGAAGATTTTTGCCGATTTGTCGGTGAAGAAATCGGAAGAATCTGTAAAGAAACGTTAGGAGATTAGGTTTGATTTACAAGAAAAGAAAAATAAGAGAGATTAGAATTTTAAGAATCAGATATGATTTGTGGATGAGAAAATGTGGGAAATTTGAGAGAGTTTACCGTGGCTGGGGCCGCCCATTCGGAGGAGGTGGATCTGGAGATTGGCGCGTAGGAGTTGGAGCCTTGTTTGAAGACAGTAAAACAGTTAGGAAGAAAGTCTTTCAGTTTCAACCGAAGGTAGCAATAACGATTATTGGTAGGTTGAAATAGATGGGAGGGAAATATGAGTTGGGCTTAGTCTACAAATATGGGCTTGAACTCTTTGTATTTATGGGCTGGGTTTTATGTGGCACTTTACCGTTTCTGTGCATAACACCACCGACAAATCGGATGATTAAAAAAGAATTAGGACTAGGAAATTGCTTTTGTCAATTCAGGGAAGAAGAAACTTTATAGGAAACTTCAGCGTATTTGTCTAATTTTTATGGTGGGAGGCAGTGTCATTGTTATTTTTTCCGTGCTCGGATGTCTGTTGGCTTTATAAAAAGAGAGGCAAACGTCGTTTCTGTCTCTATTCCTGTATTTTTATTCTCCAATATTCCTATATTGTTGTATTTTCTTGTCTATTAATCTTACCAATTGACAGAGAGATTGACTAACTATTGGGTATAGTTCCACTCTCCTTCCATAATGCATTTGAACTCAAAACATCTCCATTATTAAGTCAAGTCCTTACTGTTTGTGCTAACTCTCGTGGGTTAGAAAACCATAAGTTATATCATCTTATTGTATTTGTGTATCAAAAACTAAAATTACGCAAAACTGATTTATTTCGTTTATGTGATTAGATCCAATCCAATTTATATGCCTTTGAATGAGGGTGAAAAATTAGTACAAAATGGGCAGGCTCTCAAGAAATTAGTGCGAGTGTATTCTAAATCTGATGTCTCCTGACAAAATTAGTACTCATGTTGACATGCATTGTTATTTGTTAGGCCAGTCTTACTGGGCGTGCAGGGGACCATATAAATTAGAAAACCAGGAGTTTTGTTTTTTTGACAGGAAAGAAAGAGTTCCACCGACCAATTAGGATTTATTTTTCAAAAAAAAAGAAAACAATTGGGATTCAAAATCACAAAGCAAAACGATAAAATATTAAAGACTTTGTCAAAAATTCGTGCCAATTGTCACCGGCCATTACAGCTAACCATGTGGTCGTGGAGTACCAAAATGATCAAACCTGTTAATATAATGGCAAAATATTTCATGATCCAGATCCGTGCATGTGGTTGGTCATTAAAGTTAAGGACGTCGAGTATGAAATAAACTATTAATAATTTATACTGCATATACGACCTCCGGTTATGGATATTAATTAACAACATTCCTAATGTTCTTGAAGCTAGTAAGCTCACAATGATTTTCTGAACCACAAATGCGGTGGTGAACTGGTGATGGCACTCTTTGGCAATTGGAAGTGAGAGCTGAAATGATGCATTTATGAAGCACTTGAACTAGAGGTCAGAACTGCATTTAGTGCCTCAGTTAGTAGGATGAATTGGCTGAAACGGAGATCCAAAAACGAAATTTACCCTCATCGGGCCATTAGAGAAAGGAAAATTCCTGGTGGAATTTTAGGAAGTCACATGAACCTGAATAGTCAAATTTGTATTGAATCCATTTAAGATCACATTGCTGTTTCATCAAGAAATGATTTGAAACTGCAGCAATTTGTTTGTTAACATTACCTAAGCCCATCTTACATTATATGGACCCAATCTATGGTAGACATTCTAACCCCATCCCAACATAATTAATCCCATTGTTTTTTGAGAGGTTCTTTATAGTTTAGAAATTACTAGTTAGATACTTACACTATGTTACAATCGGACAATTATTATATACATAGAGTTAACGATTCATATGTTGTGATGCGAATAGAAGTTTTGTTATGGAGATTAATGTAAATCGAATCTATATATTAATTGAACTTGTTTGATTTATATATATTTATTAATAAAATAATTTATAATATTAGTATAAAAATTTATATTTGAATAATTAAGAGATTCTTTCAAAACATTAATTAAATTATTTTATTTAAAAATGTAGATTTTAGAACATGAAAAAAATAAATAACAAAGGATTGGTGTTATGTGTGCAAATATAACTAATTTTTTAGAAAACTACTACATATGTATCGTACTTAGCAAATTTAGAGTATATAGAATAAATTAAAAACTATAAAAAACCTACCGAAATCGCATGAAATATATCAAAGTGAATAGATTTAAATAAAAACTATTATAAAATTGGTTTCGATAAATTATGATTATATATATATATATATATATATATATATATATATATATATATATATATATATATATATATATATATATAACTAAATAAAACTTGTGAAAATTTTAACTAATTATTAATTTAAAAAAAAATTGAGTCAAATTATTTTTTAACCGATTATTTTTTTAAAAAAATTAAGTCAAATTATCTAAAACATATTATTAGCTCTCTCTCTCTCTCTCTCTCTCTCTCTCTCTCACATCGAATTTATACATGCAATTACGCTACTCCCATTTAAAAATCATAAAAATAAATAATCGGGTATAATTTATAATAATATATTTAAAAAAAATAAAACAATCACATTCTTAAATTTTATTTCAAAATCAATATATATAAAAAATAAAATTTATTTACAAATAAAATTATATTCAAAATAAAAAAAATAATTTGATGAGAATTTTAATAAGAAACAAATAATTGAAGAAATAAATTTTAAATAACAAATTTTAAAGATATGTTCAAACTAAAATCTTAAAAAATATCATACATATTCTATTACGATTAAATTGTACGTAAAACTAAAAACAATTTATACGTAAAACTAAAAAAAATAATTTTTTTTATATTTTCATACATAATTTCATGATAAAAAAATTTAAATAAAAATTATCGAAAAGAAAAAAAAAAAAAAGCAAACGAGACTCGCTAGTGTAGGCCGAGTGAGCCAAGCCGAGCTTGCTACTGTGCCCGATTGAGCCTCGCTTCTCCATAGCCGACTCCGCTAGCCAAACGTTAAAAAAAATAAAAAAAAATGCTGCAGTAAATAAGCAATGACAACTCCGCATCTTTTAGTTTTTTTTTTTTTAGTAATTATTGGCATTGAAAGATAATACCGATAACTATTGGGAGTATTGCTTGGAGAATCTACTATGTGGAGCCTTTGAGAGGAGGAAATTAGATTTTTTTAAAAAATTTTTGAATTGTGAGATAGTAAGTATGTGTTTGGTAATGTATTGTAGATGTTTTTATAAAATATATTTAGAATGAAAAAAAAAATTTTGCTTTTTGAGTCCGGACATATTTTGAAAAATATTTTTAAATACAATGCAAACGCATTACTAAACATATTTTAAGAATAATGAAAGATATTGTTATTAGTGATTTAGATGATGGTTGAAGTTAAGATAGTTTTTGAGTTGTATTTTTCCCATGATGGTCGAAAGGCTTAAGGTGCCACTAAATTCTAATGATGGAGGTTTTGATAATAGTGGTAGTTAATGACGGATTGGGACTTTTGACACTTGTGGACTTTTTGTAGTCTGTTGTGCCTTTAATTTTAGCAATACCGTTTGCCAACCGTTTCCCGACATCTTCAAAATAGAAGTCTTTGGTGGTCAAAACTTTAAGAGATGGTAGGACCACATTTACTCCATTCTCAATATGCATGCTATGGCTTGGGTGTTATCCGACCTAAAAAATGGTGCAAATGCCAAAGCATGGGTTCATGCCAACAAGGTATGTAGGCACACTATAATCGGTACATTACCTAATGACTCGTTTAATGTATACTATACTTATAAGGAGCAAAACAAATTTGGTAGTCAATGGTTACCAAGTGCACTCGTCGAAGATGCTGGCAAATAAAAATTTATAATTAGAAACTTTTACAAATGGGAGATGACAAATGACAAAGACATCAAGGTTTAAATTAATGAATATCACAAACTACTCGAAGACCTAAAGGTAGAAAATATTACCTTACTAGAACATTTTGTGACTAGACTCGCTGATTAAAAAGCTACCAAACTCTTGGAGTGACTATAAGAACCAGCTAAAGCACAAGCAAAAACAATTATCTTTTGCTAACTTAATCACTTATATAATAATTGATGTCAATCAAAAAGAGGTCCAAAATTCTAAGGCTAGGGAATTAGCTTCAAAGGCAAACTCGCTACAAGTTAAATCTCAAAACAAGAGGTACGCTAATAGAAAACCCGAATATAAGCCTAAGATTGCTAACCCTATCTTCAAAAAGAAAGGCAATTGTTTTGTTTATGAGAATCCCGGCCATCAAACGACTTAATGCGGGATGAGAGTGAGAAATGAGAATCCTCCCAATGCAAATCTTGTTAGGGAAGATGACATAATTGCTTGTTGCAATTTCTCAAGCCAATCTTATAGTGAAAATGAGAGACTAAGTGGTCGACTCTAGGGCTTCTAGACATATTTGTACAAACAAAAGTGTGTTCTCCTCCTACACTCCTGTAGGGGATGAAGAATAAGTGGTCTACCTTAGAGACTCTCACATTGTAAAGGTTTTAGTGAAGGGCAAAGTCCAACTAAAGCTTACTTCGGACAATACTTTAGCCTTGAACAAGGTGTTGTATGTTCCAACGATTAGAGAAAATCTTGTTTATGTGGCTCTATTGAGAAAGAATGGGTTTAAAGTTTCATTTGAATCTGAAAAAATTATTATGACGAGAAAATAATATTTTTGTTGGAAAAAGCTATCTTAGTCGGGGCTTCTTTGTACTTAATGTTGATTTTGTTATAAATGAGAATAATGCACATTGTTCTTCTTACTTGATTGACTCTATTGATTTGTGGCATAGTAGACTAGGACATGTTAGTGTTTCTTATATCCAAAAAATACAATCCATTGGTTAGATATTTGGTGTTAAGCTGTTATATGGATAAATATGGTATTTGTGCTTGAAATAAAATCTACTAAGAAAATTTATGCACCTATATATAGAGAATCCAAACTATTTAGTTTAATTTACTATGATTTAGGTAAAAGATATTATATCACCTTTATAGATGATTGTTTTAGAT